TGATTTTATGGGCCATGTTCTATACGAGACTTTATAAAGTTATTAAAATCTCTCTTGCGCATTCACATTGACAATAAAATGCCCTCCCCTGCCTCTCATAATCAGAATGCATGCGTAATGACGGTGTAATGTAACTGGTAATAAAGTGCTACTGCATCTAAATATTTTAGAAGGGGAAACATATTACAGGTATAATTCAGTGACTGCTCCAATCCGATCTTTAAAAAATACCTGCAAAGGGAAAAGGAATTCATGGGGAGGCATTGTGAAAAGCAAGCCAACAGGATGAATATGTGGAAAATTTAAATAGTTTAAGGTCTGGAATAAAAAAGATAAACACATGCAAATGTTCCATCAGAGGACAAAATGTCTAAACATAGAGGTCTCTATCATGTAAATGCATATACATTTATATAAGTGTATTTTCTTGCTTATTACTATATCATTAAAGCCATATGTTAGTGTCTAAAAAATACAACAATAAAAACCAAACATCATATTCATAAGGAATACTTTACATTTACCACTAAATAATTCCGTAATTACAGTGCAACATATCATAACATGGCAATTATTGTAAATGCTGTACATATAAAACTCATTTTAAAAACATTCATTGAAGCCCGTTTCAGAAAGCATAATCACTGTCGGAGTAAGAATTATAAATAGGACAATAATATATGGGCATCTCCTTCAAGCTTGTCAGATCATGACTGTGGAGAATCAAGCTGATTTCTGTCTTGTATACCAATCATAAATCCAATCACAAAACAGTAACACCATGGTTACCAAGAAAAACAGTATTAAAAAGACAGAAAGACAATCTGCAAAAGACAATAAAAATTAATTGAAAAAGAAAGGGGAAAAAATCCATGAGCTGAGATTTTTCAGTATAAAGGTTACAAGGAGAGATAGATAAACACTCTTATTTCTTAAAACACCGTAATATACCAAATGTAAGCAACTTGTAATGAGGTGTAGAAGACACTCAACCGGCTGCTGTGAACTACTGGGCTGCTCAAAGCGGGACTTGACCGGTAGAAAGTGCAAAGAACTGGCTCACCAGACGCTAGAGCCGAATCTCTGAACCAGTGTGCTCTCAAGTGGAGAGTCATGACCCACAAATGGGTCTCTTATGACAGATTTGTGGAACAGCGGGGAAAACTATGGCAGATACAACTAACCATATCATAAAATAAGGGCATTTTCCATATTTGATGTCTACTGTAAAATATGCATGCTGAAGCAAAACCTGAATGCTTTAATCAATACGACATGCATGTAGGGAAATCTATTCTGGTTACTTTAGGTTTTTAAACTTAGTGCCAATAGCCACCCAAAACTGAATCAGACTATCCAGAAATCCCTATTCATCACTGTAAGCATACAGGAAAATATCTGCCAATCAACACTGTTGCCTTCTGGACTGCACTGTGTGGAAAAGACTGCACTGTTTGTATATATATATATATATATATATATATATACACTCACCGGCCACTTTATTAGGTACCCCATGCTAGTAACGGGTTGGACCCCCTTTTGCCTTCAGAACTGCCTCAATTCTTCGTGGCATAGATTCAACAAGGTGCTGGAAGCATTCCTCAGGGAGTTTGGTCCATATTGACATGATGGCATCACACAGTTGCCGCAGATTTGTCGGCTGCACATCCATGATGCGAATCTCCCGTTCCACCACATCCCAAAGATGCTCTATTGGGTTGAGATCTGGTGACTGTGGAGGCCATTTTAGTACAGTGAACTCATTGTCATGTTCAAGAAACCAATTTGAAATGATTAGAGCTTTGTGACATGGTGGAAGTAGCCATCAGAGGATGGGTACATGGTGGCCATAAAGGGATGGACATGGTCAGAAACAATGCTCAGGTAGGCCGTGGCATTTAAACGATGCCCAATTGGCACTAAGGGGCCTAAAGTGTGCCAAGAAAACATCCCCACACCATTACACCACCACCACCAGCCTGCACAGTGGTAACAAGGCATGATGGTTCCATGTTCTCATTCTGTTTACGCCAAATTCTGACTCTAACATCTGAATGTCTCAACAGAAATCGAGACTCAGACCAGGCAACATTTTTCCAGTCTTCAACTGTTCAATTTTGGTGAGCTCTTGCAAATTGTAGCCTCTTTTTCCTATTTGTAGTGGAGATGAGTGGTACCCGGTGGAGTCTTCTGCTGTTGTAGCCCATCCGCCTCAAGGTTGTGCGTGTTGTGGCTTCACAAATGCTTTGCTGCATACCTCGGTTGTAACGAGTGGTTATTTCAGTCACTGTTGCCCTTCTATCAGCTCGAACCAGTCTGGCCATTCTCCTCTGACCTCTGGCATCAACAAGGCATTACCGCCCACAGAACTGCCGCTCACTGGATGTTTTTTCTTTTTCGGACCATTCTCTGTAAACCCTAGAGATGGTTGTGCGTGAAAATCCCAGTAGATTAGCAGTTTCTGAAATACTCAGACCAGCCCTTCTGGCACCAACAATCATGCCACGTTCAAAGTCACTCAAATCAACTTTCTTCCCCATACTGATGCTCGGTTTGAACTGCAGGAGATTGTCTTGACCATGTCTACATGCCTAAATGCACTGAGTTGCCGCCATGTGATTGGCTGCTTAGAAATTAAGTGTTAACGAGCAGTTGGACAGGTGTACCTAATAAAGTGGCCGGTGAGTGTATATATATATAAGACATGGAATATTTGTAATTTGTTAATTAATTGTACTTTGTGCCTGTTACATGTTTTACAATGTTTTTACATTGTAGTATATTGATAAATGGTTAAGTTTAGAACTGGGTTTGGGCCAGGTGCTCAAAATATATACTTAATAGTGTAACGTAACTAAAAATATTGTGGCTGATAAAACTGAAATTATATTTCAACATGACAAAATTATGACCCAACATAAAGTCCCATTATGATACAATTCTCATGACCTTCATGTCAGTCTTATGATGCCAAAGGTTTCTAATAGAAAAAATAAAATGTTATTTACTGTAATTTCACATGTAAATGTCACAATCTACAGAAACAATATGTTTGTCATTTTTTATTTTGTTATTTGCAATCGCAGTTAAATTTGCTCAAAATATGTGGAAACTGTTAACAAAGGAAATGTCAAGGAAGAATATATGACACCAAATATGATATGCACCAACTATACTGTACAATAGATAATCTTATGATGAAAATCTTTGATGAAATAAAAAACATCATATGAAACTAATGTTATTCCATCATTGTTTCAGACACTGGTGGCTGGACATAAAATAATCCACCCTCTGCGTTTCCTCGTTTCAGACTTATAAATATCAGAAAATGTGATAAACACATACAGTCAGAAGAGTGCAGATTCAGAAAAATGTATACTTTGTATGTCACATCCTCATAAAGAAAAGTACCCTATGTACACTTCACTTTGATGTATGAAGAAACCCAGAGGAGAGGGGGGGGGGGGGGGCATTCGATTTTGATCACTTTCACGAGAAATACAAAGTATATTACACAAAAACAAAAAATGTACAAATATTAAAGAAGAGACAGAAGAGAGACTCAGGAGTATGCTGGCAGACACTGACCATTAGCTACATTCTTCTACGAAATCAATTGTCAGTCTCAACAATTCGTGCTGGGTGACAGCAATACACTTGGGTAACATTATCCTTCAGGGTCTTTTAAACGCACTCACTTTCATAAAGCTTAAAACCAGAGATATTCTAAAGACTCTGTGTGAAGATTTCTTTAGAGTCCCGCTTGAGCTCGTATCTCCCCCATGTCGCCTGCTTAATTGTGCAACAGAAATGACTTGCAGCTGTCTAACACACCACACAATTTCAGTGTTTCAAAGACAGCTTGGAAGGACCTGGAAGATACACAGCTGAAGGCTCATCTTTGCCTGATGAGACATCCAACTTTTAATGAACTTCTTCTTAATGAAAAAAAAAAAAAAAAAATCGCTTCCAGTCCACATACCGAGCTCAAATAACACAAAGAAATAACTGCACTTCAAAACAAAAACCAACAATAATCAGATTATAAAAGCATATAAAACACTAAACAAACAGGAGACAAAATAAGTCACAGAAGCAGTTCAACTGCTAGCTGCCCCAGATGAGACACACATGCAAGTCAATTCACGTGCAAATTCAGACACACACACACACACAGATTTAGAGATTTTAGTCCTGACCAAAATCATAAAACACATTCTTATGCAAAAAAGAGAAAGAGTAAAGCATGTCCTTGTTCTTTGATAGCTGATGTGATTTTTATAGTGTATAGTGGTGCACGGTAGCTGAGAGATGTTCTCCCCTCACACAGAGTCATGCTGGGTTTCATTTCTCTCAATAAGTGCTCTTTGTTCTTCAGTCTTTATAATATACACACATCCAGTCTCTGCTCTACTGTCTGCACATGCAGGCAGCTCCCTTTACTGGGAGAGAGGAGACGGACAACGATAAAAGGGCATTTCAGTTCCTATGTACAATTGCTTATATACTGTAAATGTCTCTATTTGATTAGTTTCAGGTGTGTCTCAGAAAGGCTTGAGATGATAAATCAACACTAATGGGTGGTAGAATCAACCCACGAGCCAATTGTCCGTTGTAAGCGCACATATCAGTCCTAAAGGGACAGACACACCATCACAGACATTTACAGGGTAAAATAATTCCAGGAATTGTATCCTAACACCATAGTTTCCGTCCTGTCTGTTCCAAGTTAATCTGAGATTTTATCCTAACCAGCAACAACCGTGACGGGACGTTGCGATGGGTAGTCCAACATACTGGTCCGAAATCATAACTCTACATCAAACATGAAATATCTCTGTCAAGTTTCACATTCAGTGAGGATGGACATTACTTTTGACTGGAACACCAGAAGAGGCTGAGGTTTGGTAGATGTGACACCCTTGAGAGTCTGCCAGTGGGACACCGCCGTTGTGTCACTTCTTTCTGTAACTACGACCTGAATAGCATTTGGCTGGTCATTTTGAGAGTGTGGAAATGCTAAACAGTCAGCAGATTGTATAGTTGGAGCTGGTAAACTTTTTAAATGTATTGAAATACTGTTGAGATATTGAAGCAAATGTTCAATGTTGATGGTTGATTATGGATCTGGTTCTTCGGAGGTGTTTGAGGGGAAGGGATTGCAAAGATGTGCTTTGATTGGAGTGGCATTTGTTGAGAATTGTAGGCGGCTTTGATTTGGAAAGAAATGGGGTGTTATGTTTATATTGGGACAAAGCCCGACTTTTCTTCGGATGACAACACCGACTTGCCTGGTTTTATGCTCGTGGTTAATGTTTCTTTGAAGTGCTTATGTATGGTTTTGAGTCTCAGTATCGATGAGACTGATGAGAGTGCTGAGATGAGGACGAATATCCCATAGTGCTTTGCGACTGGGTGGAGCCTTGGACATTGCTCTGGTAACCAAGCCGAGAACTGGAGTGCTGTAATGAAAGAAAGTGAGAAGAAAGTTAAATTATTATAAAAAATTAAGCACTCAGCATGATTTAACTGTTGTCTGTAATCTGAGCTGAAAGCGAACTGTAATATTATAGGTCTTGTTTATTTATTGCATATTAAGGATGTAACGATGCCCTCATGTCACGATTCGATACACATCACAACACTGAACTCACGATACCGTATTACTGCGATACTCCAAGACATTTGCTAAAAGGTTAACAAAACATGTACTGTTGATTAAAATGCTAAATTTGGTATTACATTGTGGGTGTAAATAAAATGGTGACACCAGAATAACAATATTAATGATTCTGAAGCTGAAAATACTGAATTATTTTAGACGAATATGCTTGTGCTGTCACTGACTAGATATATTTAAAATAAAGTCGGCCACTTTTACTGAAAACAAGACATTAGGCATTATCAGGACACACAAATATCCCCCATTGCATTATTTTACATTATATTCAACATTATATATAGTATTGTAATGTAGTACTGACACTAAAACTCTGTAAACTTGAATCTTTTCACACATTAATTTTCATTTTGGGTCAATTATACATGATACATTTTGTCACTATCCACGATACATGCTGATGCAATTTTGTATTGCGATATATTGTTTCACCCCTATTGCATATTGTTATATACACTGTATAAAACATGATAAACATTCTAATTAACATTTTTTAGTTGACTACATATAACTTGATCATAAAAAACAACAACAACTAACAATCTGTACTATTTCTGGAATGCTCTTCCTCAAGACCTCCGTCAAAAACCTCTTTTCTCTGAATATTACACTTCAGCTCTCGGTCTGTAAATTGTACCTTGTTATGGATATGTTATCTGTTTGAATCCCTCTTTGTTTGTATCTTTAACCTACCTTTGTAAGCTAGCTCTGTATATTACTTTGTGTGTGTGTTGTGCTTTGATGTTGATGTTTATTTGGTTCTGTTCTTCGTAAAGCAACCTTGGGTGTTAAAAAAAGAAGCTATATAAATAAATAAAAAATATCTTCTAATACTATGGTGCTATTCTATACTCAGAAAGCCCAAGATGATAAAGTGGCAAATAAAAGCCAGAAAAAAGTAAAACAGAGCGAATTCATAATTTATTAATGCCGAAATGCACTCTGGGGGACACCATAGTACTCGTGTCTCAGAATAATTAGAAAAGATCACTCAATGTTTTTGGTAACGGAGTCTTCTTCTTTTTTAACTCGATTTAGTGAATCACACGTACATCTCAAAGATGGCTGAGCTAATTTCAACTTGTCAAATTGAGTTACCATAACTCACATTTTCTGGTAACCCGTACAAACACACATGTTATCTATACAAAGTTTTATTAAGCTTTAGCAACTCAAAAATAATGAAGAAAATTACTGTTGGTTTCCTGTTGTAATAATTCAACTTGTTACAATTTACAGTGTAATAAAGTTGGAGTGTGTTGATAGTATTTTGGGTGCTGGGTCATATCGCTATACACCATACAACTATACAATTAGCAGAAAGAGAAAGTTGAAAACCATCAGAAGAGCAAAAACAAAAAGAATGATTAGATGGAGATGAATGACATGTATAGCAGCATGCGGTTTATGATATATCATACAGCTAGACCTATAATGATGACAAGACATTTCCAAACAATAGCCTATAGCATCATATCCGGGAGATAAGTCAGTAAATTCGAGTGAAATCACAGGCTTTGCTTATCCCCAGATAATACTAATCCCGTGCGAATAGGGCCATAGTCTCCCACAAAGTGATTTATTCTATCTATCAGACAACACTGATCCAGCCCTGCCTTATGCCTTGATCGAAGTCCAGATATTACGTCCTCGATCAATGTGAAATATTAGCATAATTCCTACCCAAAGCCACACGTAAAGAATATGAGGCTTTAGTGAATTGTAGAGTTGTCGTCATTTAGTCGGGACACTGTGTTTTAATGCGAAAGCAAAACCGCTTTTGTTTTCAGAGGTTGAGATTTATTAATAAAGTTGTTCCTGAACAGAAGGAGGGACTTTGCAGAAATTAGCGTGTTTCAGACAGACTGGGAATAGAGGAGCTCCAATAATGTACAGTATGTGAAAAATGTGTTTTTAACTTATTCTAATACACACAATAATCAAAATAAGTTTAAACTTTTAAAATAGCATCATATGACCGCTTTAAGAGAGCAAGAGGTCGTCTGTTGTTCAGCGTAGACTAGTGTAACGGTGGATTGCCAGATTGAACAAGTGGCTGTCAAACATCATTTCTAAATCCACTTACTTTTTCCAGCTTGCATTATGAATGATTACTCAATGTCTTTAATAAAAATGTAAAAAGTAGAGTATTTATATGTTATTAGTTTAGTCAGTTTATAATGTTCACAAAAGAATGGTATCTGTTTAAGGGTGATGCTGTTATTATCGCTGGTTGGACACTAGGTTGTGCTATAGGGCACATGTGCAGTGCTTTCAGCCGTGTCTGTGAGAGCTGAGTGCCTGTGTGGAAAGATCGAGGAACTGCATTATTTAAGGCTATTTTGTTTGTAATGATATTTGTGAATGACCAAATATCATTCAGTTGATCAGTGATTTTTTTTTTTTACACTGTAGAGGATGCTGCGGCTATTTTGTTTAATTCGGTACTTAAGCATTTGGAAGGAACCAAGACCCATGCTAGATTTTATTTGTTGATTTCTCATCTGCTTTTAATAAGATACAACCTCACACTCAAAAAAATGATATGTTGGATTTACTTAACTTTTTTATGTAAACAGGTTCCACCGGTTGCACATAACTATGTTTCGTTAAACAAACATAATATGTTCATGTAACTTCAACATCATTGAATTTGGTCATTTTAAGCGACCCAATTAAACTCTGAGCTAATGAGTTAATTAAGTGAATAACTGAGTGATGATTGAGCATTATTGAAGACACCTGATGTTAACAAGCAGAATCTCTGAAGGAGAAAACCGGAATGTTTAAGTCACCATTATGGAGATAAGTGTGTGTTTTAGTTGGGCTCTTGACCATTAACTTATTAACTTTAGATTTTGTTTGGTTGCTGTACATGAGTTATAACAGCCGGATGAACAATAAACAAAGGTCATCTGATGGTGTTGATTGTGTTTTAACATAATCATTATTTCACAATCATTTGACCTGAGTCACAAAACTTATATTAAACCGAATTTCTGAGTTAAGTTTACTTTACGGATAATCGCAGCACTGTCATTGTAGAGCATACTATTTTTAGACTTTTCAATGAAATTCAAATGATCAAATCAATAAATAAAAAAGACATTTTGAATAGGCACACACAGACATCAAGAATCAGCCTGTGAATCTCAACAATGGTGACAATTATAAAGCATATTGCAGTGCATTCTGGGTGGCAACAATCAAAACTCATTCATGGCTCCCATCATGCATTGCTGCATTAATAAATAATGAGCTTATGATCTGTTTGTCACCATTGCTGAGATTCATATGCTGATACTTGATGTCTGTGTGTGCCTACTCAGGATATTTTTTAAGAAGTTTCTTTTTTATTTCTTGATTTGATCATTTGAATTTCATTGAAAAGGCTAAAAATAGTATGCTCTACAATGACAATAAGGTAAACTTAACTCAGAAACTGGGTTCAATATAAGTTCAGTGATTGAGGTCAAATGATTGTGAAATAATGATAATGTTAAAACACAATCAACACCATCAGATGTCCTTTGTTTATTGTTCATCCGGCTGTTATAACTCATGTACAGCAACCAAACAAAATCTAAAGTTAATAAGTTAATGGTCAAGAGCCCAACTAAAACACACACTTATCTCCATAATGGTGACTTAAACATTCCGGTTTTCTCCTTCAGAGATTCTGCTTGTTAACATCAGGTGTCTTCAATAATTCTCAATCATCACTCAGTTATTCACTTAATTAACTCATTAGCTCAGAGTTTAATTGGGTCGCTTAAAATGACCAAATTCCATGATGTTGAAGTTACATGAACATATTATGTTTGTTTAACGAAACATAGTTATGTGCAACCGGTGGAACCTGTTTACATAAAAAAGTTAAGTAAATCCAACATATCATTTTTTTGAGTGCATATTGAGCTTTGGTCTTGATTTTAACCATTGTTGGCTGGATCCTTCCTTGACTTTTCAACTGATCAAATAGAGAGAGTAATCTTTCTCCACTCCTGTATATTTGCCAGGCCCAGGCATGATAAAAGATTTATCTTAAAATTAGCAGATGATTCAGCTATTGTCAGCCTCCTCTGTGCCGAAATGTGAGCGTGTATGAAATGTTAGGGTTGTAGAAAAATGACCATGTATGAAGATGATGTTGTAGATTATTCTGTCTAGTGGTGTGATTCCTGTACATAAATGTGTTTAAAATGCTTATTGATTTCAGGCGTAATCAAATCACTTTAAAGAGAACAACTATCAAAGTGCAGGATGTTGAGGTTGAGGAAAGTATCTGATTGATAATAAGTTGAATTTTAATTTCAATGTGGTTTGTAAAAAAGGCCAGCAACGCCTGTTCTATCTGTGGAGACTGTCCAAGTTAACGTTTGTTTTTACATCGGCAATTTTATTATGGTATGGCAGTCTAAGGGCCCTAATTTAAAGGGGTCACATAATGGTACATGCACTTTTACAAGTTGATTGTACTGAAATGTGTGTTTCAGTGCCTGTACACAAACATCATATAATAAAAATCTATCCAGTGTTTTTGTTTTAATCTCCTTATATGTTTTCCCCTGCCTCAAATCGAGCCGTTCGACCGTGTGACGTCACTAAATCGGACGCCCCTCCCACGATTGTTGATTGACAGCAGCGTTTCAGCACAGACCCGCCCTGTGCGAGCTGTCAATCATAGTCTGCGCGGACTGGCGCGGTCATTGTTGATATGCTGGAGCACTGTCTATGAGCAGAATGGCGTCTAAGCGATTGTGGTGTTCTGTTCTTGGGTGTAATAACGAACACAGTCATTTTAATGTTCCTAAATCCGAACCGCTGAAGACGCAGTGGCTGAGTTTGTTTTCGAAGGGAATATTCCACACGAGCAACGTCAATGCTCTCATGTTTGTGCGATTCGCAAATCTTTTCTCACCAGACTGCTTTAATAAACGAGGGTCAGTATAAAGCTGGTTTTGCTAAGAAGCTGCTCCTGAAAAAAGAATCGGTACCAACTATTCGTGTTCCTGCTGAACCTCCAGAAGAAGTGAGTGTAAAATTTGATTAACCTTTATATTAATCTTTGCCAATCGCTTGCATGCTTCACGATGAATGCGGCTAAGGTTTACACTCAGGGTACATTACGGCATGTTTTCTATACGACGTTCTCAATATAATTCATAATCCCACGTTTATAATGAACAACGCGTTATGGTTATTGTGTTATTACAAACTGAGTACGTATACATCAGTAAACACATAGCGTTCGTACATCTCACTAAGTTACTCTACCCTGCCAGTAACGTTACACAAAGATAGATCAAAGTGACATTACGTTAACCAACCATTCAGAAACGTCCTGTTCGAGCTTTAATTGTCGAACTTTTTTGCGGCCGTCATCTTGTTCTGGGTCCGACTCCGGTTCAAATTGAAACGGTTGCAGAGATGTGTCCTCAGAGACTCGCTGCCATTCTCTCTCCAAAATATACCCTCAACTGTTGTCAAGGCAAAACTCCACGTGCGTTGTGTCGAAACGACAGCAGAACAGAGGGGCGGAGTCAGCGAAGCTCATTATCATTTAAAGGCATATGCACTGAAACGGCGTGCTGAAAACAGAGCTGTTTTTGACCAGGTAAAATTAGTGTTTTCTTACAATACTAATGAGAATTTTTTATTAAAGTGTATTACAAACTTTTCATTTAGACCCTAAAGAATCAAATTAACTTGTATGAAAATGGCATTATATGACCCCTTTAACGATCTAAGCTCATGGTCTAAATAAAGCGCAGGCCGCAAGTGCACTTAGTGCGTGTCCGAATCCACTTTTGCTAGTTTAACAACGGGAAAAATGCGGCACTCCCGGCGCATGGTCTAAAAGGGTTGTCTCTATTCTCTTAATGAGTAATGGGTGTGTTTTGGGCGTAACGTGAAATAAACTAATCAGAGTCTCATCTCCCATTCCCTTTAAAAGCCAGTTGCGCTCGTGCCATGGCGGATTCGCTATTTACATGACGGAATTTGTAAGTGGAAAAACTGAACGCTTCTCCAGAGCGCAAACGGATCTGCTCGTGCGCGAGGTTAAAGACCATCTACGGGACAAGCCGGATTCCACCATATCTTTATGTACACAATATTAATCTTTTACATTGTAATCCTTTTATTTTTAATATTTGTCATGTTTGTGTGGTGCGCGTCCCTGTGTGCGTAATAAGCAGAGTGTACGCGCGTGTTGTACCCGCCTGTAGGCGCACATTACTAACACACTCTTTAAATAACAAAAAAAATACTGCACCATTGACTTTAGACCAGGTTTCAGTTGGTCAATGGCTCAGTCTATTTCAGTTCCTCAAAATAGCAACGGTCCAACAATGCACCTGAAAACACACCTCGTTTTCAGACCAGCAGCCCATGGGCTCACATGCATTTGCTATTTAAACAACGTGGCGCAGGACGTGAAAATGATAGCCTCTGCTACCTCTGACGTTTCTGTCTCTTACCTGGTAGTCTGTTTGAAGAACACTGGTTCCTGAGGTGCGAGGTTTTTTGTTTGGTGGCCCCTGGTCCTGGCCGTGCTGCAGGGAGGGGCCCGTGTTGGCCCCTGCAGTGCCTGATGTGCCGTTGGTCTGCGCTGAGCTCTGCTGGGTTGGAGCCTGCTGCGTCTGCGTCTGCGCTGCCGTCTGCTGGTGCTGCTGCGTCTGGTTCTAGAGGACACACACAATATCACTGTGGTTTGAAGGATATCTTTGATTTTTCTTTTAGCATTAAAAACTGGACATTATTATTTTCAGGATCTTATTATTTCATAATAACAAACACCAAAACTTTTCAATGACCACATTAAACAAGAAGATCACAGTTCAGTATTCAGTTTTATTTCAGGGTGGATCATAAACTCAAAAAAACAATTTTTTTGCCCTTTCCTATTAGTTACTGTCAAGTTTTGCAACCATTGATTGTCCTGTGTCAGAATACATGGAGAGAGAAATGAATGGTTTAAGTGAATTATCTCAGGATCGCTTAAATACTATCAGGATTAATTTAATATTTATATATAGTAATATATAGATGTTAAAAGGTCTTGTGCCAGGGAAGGCTACGTCAAAAAAAAAGGTAATACAGAAATGCATAACGGAGAGGTCATTAGGAAGAAAACATAACTAAAAAGAGAACCCTCCCATTTTATCTAGATTAAGACATGCAGATAATATTATTAAATTAGTTACAATAGAAATAGAATAAATGATTTTTATAAATCTATGTAATTGCAACATATACAACTGTGTAAATCATAACATTTTTCATGTTTGCTGTGGACATTGTTTTCAAGTTACCAAAAAAAAAACATTTTATATATATATATACCCATATACACTCACCTAAAGGCTTATTAGGAACACCTGTTCAATATCTCATTAATGCAATTATCTAATCAACCAATCACATGGCAGTTGCTTCAATGCATTTAGGGGTGTGGTCCTGGTCAAGACAATCTCCTGAACTCCAAACTGAATGTCAGAATGGGAAAGAAAGGTGATTTAAGCAATTTTGAGCGTGGCATGGTTGTTGGTGCCAGACGGGCCGGTCTGAGTATTTCACAATCTGCTCAGTTACTGGGATTTTCATGCACAACCATTTCTAGGGTTTACAAAGAATGGTGTGAAAAGGGAAAAGCATCCAGTATGCTGCAGTCCTGTGGGCGAAAATGCCTTGTTGATGCTAGAGGTCAGAGGAGAATGGGCCGACTGATTCAAGCTGATAGAAGAGCAACTTTGACTGAAATAACCCCTCGTTACAACCGAGGTATGCAGCAAAGCATTTGTGAAGCCACAACACGCACAACCTTGAGGCGGATGGGCTACAACAGCAGAAGACTCCACCGGGTACCACTCATCTCCACTACAAATAGGAAAAAGAGGCTACAATTTGCAAGAGCTCACCAAAATTGGACAGTTGAAGAGTGGAAAAATGTTGCCTGGTCTGATGAGTCCGATTTCTGTTGAGACATTCAGATGGTAGAGTCAGAATTTGGCGTAAACAGAATGAGAACATGGATCCATCATGCCTTGATACCATTGTGCAGGCTGGTGGTGGTGGTGTAATGGTGTGGGGGATGTTTTCTTGGCACACTTTAGGCCCCTTAGTGCCAATTGGGCATCGTTTAAATGCCACGGCCTACCTGAGCATTGTTTCTGACCATGTCCATCCCTTTATGGCCACCATGTACCCATCCTCTGATGGCTACTTCCAGCAGGATAATGCACCATGTCACAAAGTTCGAATCATTTCAAAGTGGTTTCTTGAACATGACAATGAGTTCACTGTACTAAAATGGCCCCCACAGTCACCAGATCTCAACTCAATAGAGCATCTTTGGGATGTGGTGGAACGGGAGCTTTGTGCCCAGGTTGTGCATCCCACAAATCTCCATCAACTGTGTGATGCTATCCTATCAATATGGGCCAACATTTCTAAAGAATGCTTTCAGCACCTTGTTGAATCAATGCCACGTAGAATTAAGGCAGTTCTGAAGGCGAAAGGTGGTCAAACACAGTATTAGTATGGTGTTCCTAATAATCCTTACGTGAGTGTATATAGAGATATTATATACTGTATATACCCATATATATAGAGCTATTATATATATACTGTATATATATACACATATACTGTATATACCCATATATTAGGGGTGTAACGATTCATTCGTTTTCTCGATGCATCGATTACAAATCCTGACGATGCATATGCATCGATCTTGAAACATGTATTTCGAATTGTGAATCGTTTATTTCGGTCAATATTCGATTTAAAATGCTAAGAATCGAATAATTTGCGATTCTATATCGATTCAGTGCTTTAAAACATAAAAACAGTCATTAAATAACTACATGCGCGAATTAATGAGGCGTTGTGCGGCGTCATTTCGCGTCCTCACAGCTCTCACATACTCGCTGCACTCTTACCATCTTTCACTGGATTTCGCTCGCGCTCGGTCCCATATAGCTCTCATCTGCAGATTTTTGAGCAGTCCGTGTTTGAGCTCTCCTCAGGACAGCCATTGGTGTTCACATGAGCAGATGACAGCTCTCGAGAAAGCAAGCCATTGATAAAGCTGTCATTGCGCGGTCACTGCTATGAATCAACGCGTTCGTTGCGTGGGAATGTCACCGTTATTTTCTTTAAGATAAGATAGGCTACTGAAGTTTTACGGAAATGGGTCATACCCATCCTGAGCAGTTAAAGTAAAACCCCACTTATTCAAGGGTGCGCATTTATTACATGGAAAGAGAAAACGTATAATAGGTGTCTAAAATGTACACCGATTAATCATGAATGATGAATGAAATGTAACCTAATGTCGTTAAACTGAACTGATGAAATAACTACAACATTAATTACACTGAAATAAGAGCGCGTGGTTTATCCATCAATCAGATGCGCATTAAAGTTGCATTCGTAATCGTTAATATAGCACAAGTACACTGTAAAAAAAAATCCTAATTTTACAGAAAATAACTGTGATTTTTTGACGATCATTTTCTTTCATTTTAAATTGTAATCAAAACACTGTAAAATTACAAATAATATCTGTCAAATAAAAATTCAGCTGTTATTTTAGGTATTGTGACATTAATGACAAATTGCAGTAATTCACATTTTTTATACAGGAAATTGATTGTATTTTTCATACAGTATTTTTTCTGTTTTCTTAAATTACATAAAAATGTATGTAAAATTACAAATATAATCTGTAATTAAACAGTAACAAAAAAGTTAAATGATAAAACGATCAAATGACTGGCAGCCCCCAAAAAACTGTAACATTAAAGTAAAAAATCCTAAATTAAATAAACTGAAAAACACTGTGATAATTCAGGATATACCTGTAAAATAACAATCATATACCTTCAGTGGAAAAAAAAATCGTAAAAAGAGGGTCAAATGACTGCCAGCTACGGCTGCCAAACAAAAACCATAAAATTAAAGTACAATCTTCTAATTCAAATAAAACAAAAAACACTGTTATTTCACAGGTATTTCCTGCATTATTATGATCATATCCCTTTATTGTAAAAAAATCGTAAAAAAAGGGTAAAATGACTGGCAGCTATGGCTGCCAAACAAAAACCATAAAATTAAAGTAAAATCTTCTAATTCAAATAAAACAAAAAAACACTGTTATTTCACAGGTATTTCCTGCATTATTATCATCATATACCTTCATTGTAAAAAAATCGTAAAAAAAGGGTCAAATGACTGGCAGCTACGGCTGCCAAACAAAAACCATATAATTAAAGTAAAATATCCTAATTTAAATAAAGTGTAAAAAACTTTAATAGAAATGTGATGTCACCATGATTGAGATCAGTGTTTGCTTTAGTTGGGCTCATGACTCTTGAGTTTCAACATTACTTTTTCTCTGGTTGCTTTAACTGTGTTTTGATGCACATTTATTATGGCAATAATTGCAAGAGAAAATATAAGATGATCTTGATAATTTATTGATGATTTTATAGTCATCATATGATGATCTGATTCATTGATATGACAGTCAAATCTCTATTGGCTGTGAATACATTATATATAGATGGACTTTAGTGTTATACAAAGTTATACTTTTTTTCACATGATTTGTTGAAATATTGTGAGATCAGTATTAATGCAATCTCAAACTAAAAAAAAATTATATATTCTACATACATTTTTTCGAGTTTGTTAGGAGTATGGAGACATCAAGAATCAACATATGAATCTCAACAATGGTGACTATCAACAAAGCCTTTTTGTGACTTTATAATAGGTCAGATTTTTTTTTTATTGTCACCATTGTTGAGATTCATACGCTAATTATTGATGTCTGAGTGAGTCTGTATGATCCTGTCAAAACATTTTTTGCCTAATGACTTCATAAAATCTTATATCAAAGTAGGGCTGCACGATTAATCGCACGATATTGTTATGCGCATCTAATCAGTAAAGCCGGTTCCTTGATTAGTAGTAAATCACCTTCACCTGCTTTCAGATGGAGCGGCATTTACTACAAAGAGGCGTAGTTAACTGACAAGCTGAGCCAAATCGCATTAAAATCAAGGACATATCGCCAACGATGTTTAATGCGATATGGCTCAGCTTGTCAGTTAACTACGGCTCTTTGTACACAGCAAAAATTAACACACCTGGGAGTGTATATGAGTCCACACTCAAGAGTGTTAAAGTTAATGAGATATTTAAGTGATTAATTGAGTGAAGATTGAGCATTATTGAAGACACCTAAAGCAGAATCACTGAAGGAGAAAACCGGAATTTCAGGTCACCATTATGGAGATGAGTGTTTGCTTTAGTTGGGCTCTTGACCCTTATAATATTAACTTTAGATTTTGTTTGGCTGATGTATCTGAGTTATAACTGCCAGATGAACAAAGAAAAAAAAATTATCTAATGGTGTTGGTTATAATATGACATTCATCATTTGAACTAATTGTTTGTGATTTATGCTGTTGGTTACAGCATAACTGAGATTCTGCATAAATATCCAGAATTTGAGATATAATATAAAGGATTTCTTAAAAGTTGAAAAAAAAAAAAGTCTTTCTTTTAGGCACACACAGATATCAAGATTCAGTCAATGCATCTCAACAATGGTGACGAGCAGAATATTAAATTAGGAAAAGTAAATTACATAGACAATTCAGATCATAAT